AATATGTATATTCCTGACATAGCTTAAATATTCTGATAAGGTAAATTAATGAAATAAAACAACTTAAGTACTTTTATGTTGCGTTTAATATTACATATCATCTACATTTTGAATTAAAATATCATCGAAATATTTTATCAATCTTTACAAAATAGATTTGGTTTGATGTTATATAAACAACCTCGATCAGTCTTTGTGAATGTTACTACACCCACAGCCAATAAAAATGATTCGTATGTTTTCCAAACCGGTAAAAATAGAAGTCCTTTTTTAAAATTAATATATTATTTAAAGGTGGCCGTTAAAATCTAATGACTGTAAAATAAAGTATAAATTACGCCAAGACTTACTGTATATGTCAATATTTTATTTGCATTTAGGCCAATTTGATCAATCTCCTTTAGTTTTAAGTTTAGAGAGTCATGCCATAATCGATACCATTTGCTGCTTTACTTTATTCTCTCGAACGGATGTCTCTCAGTGCTTAAACACTGTGGCTAGAACACACGGATTCTCAGTATCTTTGTAAAGTATTGTCACAGAAGATAGTACAAGTAAAGTTCACAAAATTTGTTTCTAATCACACATCGAAGCCACGAAAAGTTCGCAAGCAACAACCACCAGCTGTAAGTTTCATATGGTATGACCTGAGATTAATCAAAAACGGGTATGACTGAATAATGGTAAGAATCTTGTACTATATTGCTCTTGCGAGACATACGGAGGGCCGAGTTAAAGACGAATCTTTTTTGTAATGCACAAACCTGAAATTAGTCACACTGAAATGCGAAATCAAATCATTAAATTACAAATCATAAGCGAGACCAATGGTCGTCTCGGTTCGGCAACTGTTTAGCAGAGGCACAAGGGACTGTTCGTACTGTTTTCTGTCCGTTAAAGTCCTGCTAAAGTTAAGTTAGTGATCTAAAGAAAAGTTTACTAGAAGAAATTCCACGCGGACCAGGCAGCAGACAGGACTCGAACCCGCACCCTTCGCTATCCGGGCGAATGCACTGACCATTATGCTACCGCGGCCCTGACTACTCGAATTTTCTCTAGCCTTAAGCTGCAAGGCAGCGCCATCTCTTTGCATTGTAGATTGTGGAGTTTCTTTAGATTTTCTTTAGATTTTAACATCTAGCAGTTAAATGCTTAAAAAATAAAAAAAACATAACAGCTTTGTTAAGTTAGTGATTTTATTACGCTCTCGATTGTTATATAAATTTTGTGTTCGACGCTCAAACCCCAAAAGGGTGTGGATAAAAAGAACTCCTGAGCTAAAAAAAAGTGCTTACGTCTCATCAAACACAGGGACCGTCTTAAGGTTTATTGTAAGCGATAGAAATAATGCAGGGATAAAACGTTTGTGCGTACGATCCGCAAATCATTATTGCGTCGGTAGGGCTATTGTCTGAGTGGCGTCAACATTTTTGGTAGAACATAATAAGGATAATGACTAACTATTTAGTTTAATGTTTTCTGTGGTGTAAAAATAAAGAGTTTTGTATTGTATTGAATTGTATTTTTCTCCGTCTATCAGGAAGATTATGAAAAAGTATTGGACACGTCTTTTTTTCTTAATTCTCTCTAATTAAATCAAAACATAACAGAAATATAAAGAATTTTATTTCTAGCGTAATTTTCTTTAGATTTCATCATCTAGCAGTTAAATGCTTAAAAAAATAAAAATATAATTACAGAAGTATATTGATTTAAACCATCATAATAAACAATTTTTACTTACAAGTGACGTCAACAGGCCCCACCCCTAAACTTTGTCGTACTTTATCGTTGTAAAATTTTTTTGATTGACAAAAGAAAATATAGGTATTCATTATTTTTGATATAACTAAATAGAAATTCTTTTAATTTACCCAGTCATTATCCCTATTAAATTGGTTAGTATGTCTATGGAGAGTTTTAACTGGAACTTAATTTTATTATTAGTGACGTATAGACAAGCCCACACGTCTCCGTGAATTTAGTATGGTCGTAGAAGTCGTATGACATAGAAATCTTTACACATAGAGCCGGCCGACGCGATGCTTTTTGCCCAAATTGGAGAGCTCGTGTACGGTAAGAACCTTCCTCAAAATACTGTGACCAAATATCACTTTTATGTAGTGTTATATTCTTATTCCCGTAGCAATAGCGTCGTGATAATATGACAATTATACCACGTAATCATAACCACTTTATTGCTTCATGTTGGTACATAGGTTGTTAAAATTAAAACGAGTTATCTCAACATGATCCTTGCAAGGGCATTGCAAACATCTCCTGTAAATTTTCTTAATTTTTAACCTAACAAACATAATCACAAACATCATCTACTTTTGTGAAACATTTTAGTTAGCATACAAAATGAAGCAATAAAGATTATGATTATGTTATTATCACGTCTCGTCTTAGGTACTGTCAAACGACATATATAAAAATGTTATATAATGTAGAGTATCCAATCGTGTTGCTCATACTAGGGGGGCTGAAATGAAGTAAGCAGTAACGTTAACTTCCAGAACTTAGGGGATACGGTCAGTACCCCTAGCACGAACCAATATCGAATTCGTATCGTTTGCGAGTCCGAAATTTCATTGTCAAATGTGTACTGATTTTTAGTTCTCGTTACGTACTTTGTGCCGCTGCTGTTCAAGTTTCCATACAAAATTTGACATTGACATTTCGGTTTGCAAACTATTCCAATTCGATAATGGTTCGTGCTAGGGGTACAGATCGGGCAAAACAATAGTTATAGATACTCTCTGGTATCGCAAATATATTTACTTATTTATTTTATTTATTTGAATGGGAAAACTTACAGCTATTCATACAAAATTTGCTTTAAAAAATTTAACAACTATAAGCCATTAACAAGTTATCACTTATAAATTTAAAGAAAATTTAAGATTGGAAATTAAATTTTACAAATTTGAGAAAAAAATGATAAAAATGAAATTCAAGGATTCACAAGAAAAATATCAGTCAGCCATCAACCGCCTGATAGCTGCAGGTTTCAAATTAAATATGTCGATTGAAGAATATTCATTGTCGAAGTCGTTTAGCAATGCACCAGCCCTGCTAAAAATTAAATGTATTCAAAAAGCTAATAGCGGCCCCTTCACATAAGACGGATCATATTCCTGGCAAGTCTGATAAGCAACAAGAACAGTTTGATCCTGACCTTTAAATCTGTGTTTAGTATTACCCTTTGATTGCGTGCGATTACTTCCAAAATGTGCTGCGTGCTGCCAAAAATCTTTACAGGGTTTAGTGTGAACAGAGGACGAGAGGTCGCTTCCCGCACAGCATGGTTACTGGATTCACGGCTACTGCCATTCTAGTGCAAGACTAAGCAGTAGCATAGGTCTAGTGCCATAATGAGGGCTACCGTTTTCTGTCTCACCAGATGGCGCCACTGTTGAGTGAGGTCCTACATTGTAACTTTTAAATTAATACGCACATGAAATCAAAGGTTACATTTAGATCGTATTTTAACACAAAAGAACCATATCCTAAACATAATAGGCCATGCCACAGTGACGCCCAGTTCCGTTTTATTCGGAAAAAATGGGAACATAATCATTTTTCTAAGCTCAAATTTTTAATAACTGACATTCATTGCCACATAACTCATATTTGCCATAATTAAGCCGAATTGTTACCAATTATTCACAACATTATTTTAATAAGAAATAAACCCGCGTAGTCAACCAACAAGCAATAACATTTGACATTTCGGAGACCTCACGCTACACTAGCGCCTCTAGCGGCGGATTCATACGCGATAGCCCTCAATTCATCATCATCATGCCAGCCGTACGACACCCACTGTTGAGCATAGGCCTCCCCCAAGGATCTCCACACCGATCGGTCCTGCGCCACTCGCATCGATCTGCTTTCCGTGACATTCACAAAATCGTCTTTCCACTTTGTAGGGGGCCTGCCCACTGAGTGTCATCCGGTGCGTGGTTGCCATTCTAGAACCTTTTACCGTTACTTCGGTTCTCCTATGGATTTCTTCATTTCTAACAGTGCCGTAAGCTACATAATCTATTATCTCAATCTCAAAAGCTCCATTTAGACAATGATATATGTGATTGGTTTCTGTCTATACGTGGGCTTGGGGAGATGAACGAATATCTGTCAGAAAACAAGGTGGTAGTAAAATAATTCAAAAACAAAAAGTGGACAAAGGAGTGGGAAACTCTTCGTCGCTCTATTGTATTAGAGCAGCCTGCTATTTTACTCAAAGTGCGCTTATGGCGATTAAGTCATCTTCAGTGTTTTCCTTTTTCTATTTAAATATTTTCATTAACAATTAAATTTTGAAATCTTCTCTCACCTTTAAGAAGTTTCCAATCCGTTTAAGGTTCAGATAGTTCATAGGACCACGTTGGCCCGCTCTTTTCATCAATAAAAAGTGGGAGCTGAAATATGGAAAAAGACATCTTTAATTAAGGAGATCCATGCCTTTACGCTGTTGATTGCAAGATTTAGTAAACGAGTTCCATTCTCGTCACATTTCGCCTCGCAGCTTTTTTCTTTATATGAGCCTCGAGTGAAGAGCTAGTCACTTGAGGCTAGGCGAGGAAGTATGAACGAATGAGGAAGCACGAGAGTGTAGTTGAGTCTCTCGCGTTACATCGCCACGCCTCACTACGTCTGCGCTTTGGCTGGAGTCGGTTTCCGTGAACTAGATAAAGGTTCTGAAGTGTTAGGCGAAGCAAGGCGAAGCGCTTCGAGAGAGAACTGAACAAAGGCGAGAATGTAGGCTCGGATATTTCATTGTGTCATCTTGTGTTCTCTCACCATGATTATACTCGCATGTCTTCCACAAAAGTTAGCTTAAAATTCGTTACTGATTATGCTAGTTGACTATGGCAGTATGTGCGGATTGGTGCGCGTGTGCTTTGTTGCCCTGGCTGCTCCTAGTTTTGTTCGCCTGCTTGTTGCCCTGCACCGTTCCGTACCGCTACCGCAGTCAGTCCGCGCTCGCTGTTTAGTGAGCACGTGTCGCGCGCGTTTCAACACCCAAACTTTCTTACGTCAATCAATGGATATAACCTAATACGCCGCGGTTTTTGTCCAAAACGACCGTAAAATGTGATCCTCCCGTGTGTGTTTTAAGACCAATGTTTTACCAATGATGTTCGGTGACGTGTAAAGTTTGTTGTGCCAACAATGTGACATGTGAATTTTACTAATGTTAAGTATTCGTGAAGTGTGAATTGTTACAAAAAGGAGCGATGAGTATCCAGAAGTGCCTGCTGGATAATTCCAGTCGCATGATAAAGGCTATGTCCACGACTAAGTCTACGGCTGAAGTGAAGACGGTGAGTTTGTAAACACATTAGTTTATTGTACTGTGCTCTGGGTCAGTCGACCTTGTGTACGAACGAACGGCTCCAACATATTGTAGGTTATCTTTTGCAATTAAAATTGTATTACGTTTAACAATTTATTGTGTGTAAATATGCTTGGAAAAATCGATGCTTGTAAACATTCCTTTTGGTCGCGTTTACCTTATGTCATGCATTATTGTCCGCTGTTCCACAGATTGAAATTTTAACGTCTTATGGCGCCACTCAGGGACGTCAATTAATGTTTGAAATTCATTAAATTTAAGAATAGCTTTATTTACGATTGCAATAGCATACGGAAAAACGTCACATCGACAAGTATTAAATTTAATTTAACACATTAGACCGTATCTTCTGTGAGAGCAGTCTTACGGTCTAATGTGTTAAATTGTACAAATCAGTATTTTAAATAGAACAAACATTGAAGGTATTTATTAACTTATAGTAAATGTTGTTTGTTTATATCATGTCAGGTGTATCTAAGTATTTTGGTACCCAGTTATTTAACATTTTTTTTGCTATTTTGGGATATCTGAGTTTAGTACCCCCTATCCTTCAAAATCGAGGACAATAAAGACTATAAAAACGGGACAACCTATTGTCCCTTAAGTATTAGTTAAATAATGGGTTAGCTAAATTGCGGGACGCGCGAAATTTACCCTTAACGGGGCGTCTCATAAATTACACCTGGTAACCTAGCTGGCTCATGAATTATGTAGCTAACATTTACGTTATGTTTTTACATTTATTTATTCCCAATTTTGCATTTTGTAAGCATCACAAATTACCAAATCCTTAGATCAGCATGTTTAACTGTGTAACTGCGTACGTTCATAAGAATAACACAAAATGAGTCTGTAATTGGAGGTCATAAAAAAGAAATACGAGGTTTTGTTTATAGAATAATATGAAACATTGCAAGATCTGTGAAAATTTGAGAGGCCATATTTCAGATGTACTTACCTAGTTGTAGGCAAAACGAATGCTATTAAAGATAATACTGTACTAGTTCAACCTAGCGAAAGAAACTTTGAAAATGAGAACAATCCTATACAAGGCAATTAGTCACCATTGGTATACCTATTGTTTATTTTATGATTACATAGATCCATTGGCTATATCTTTTTATGTACCTATAGGAGTAAAGTCAACTGCCTGTACAGATTGTGTGAAGTCTTAAGTTCGATCCCACCAGACAATTTTGATTTGTCGTATTCCATAACTAGCTTTGCTTCTAATAGTATATGAATAATATATAAATTAATCGATTTAATGGCAAAAAGTAACTTTTCGTTTTTCTAATGTATATCAATGTAGTTACGTGGTCGAATCTCGAGGATTTTTCTCGATGTAAAGGAAAGACTCTTAATTTTTAGTAGAGTTAGCTGGTTGCGCAAGATTTCGCTATCCCACGTGTGTGGCTGTTGCGTTGAAATGGGCAATCACAATAAACAACTATTTCAGAGCTGAATATTCAATTATAAGGATATTTTATGTGATACTTCAGTGCTTAGTCAACATGCTAGCAAGCAATCCGAGGTATCATTACAATTTTTACGTCAATTTATTATTCATAATCGTAAAAAGAAGCCCTTTGGAATTTCCAAAGCCGTTAAAATAACTTTTGCTCTAAATACCAAGCAGTTTAATACTTCCAAGTACATACAAGCAAATATATACAACGAAAAGAATTAAAAAGTCAAATATTTTCTTACAATGAGAACCGAGCAGTGAATAGCATCGGGGTGTAAACAAGTTCTCACCTTGGGTGGGCGTGAGAAATTACAACATATTTTGTAACTACCATTCTAAATAATGTGTTTGATACTAAATATCATATCTACTTTATACTTGAATTTTGGATATTATTCCCTAACAGGTAACCTTAAAACCTACATGTTGATGAATAACTGATCGCAGGTAGGTCAACCGTACCTGACTACAATGTAAAATTTTGACAGTGGATCTATCTTAATCAAGTAAAAAGTCTGTTGAAGAAATATGTCACATTGGATAATGTAACCAGAGGTTCCACGAGGAAGGGATTAGGAATGAATAGATAAAGCGCGTGCGTGTATCGGAAGCGTCACAAGTTCTATGGCATCAGCTTTCTATCAGGCGAGCCGTTTGTTGGTTTGACACCTTTTTTACTTATTAAATTGAATGATCACAAATGAGAGTTTATATCTCAGCCCTTGAATTAAATAGATATACCCACCTAGACAGTTCCATAACACCCCAGTCCATTGTGTATGATAAAGTTTCAAAACCTGAAAACAATGGAAGCATTAAGTGCAGTAGAGAAGACAATGGTAGGCTTATGTTGTTATCATCCTATTACTTACCATCAGTCGGCGACACAGCTGCAAAATATCTAAGCAATGTACAACAATGTTCACCTGTCTTTAATACTATCTTACGGATGTTACGATTCAAATTTCAATTGCTTTTTTAATTCACTTATTATCTTTTTTATTTTCATTGAGTTTTTTTTCATCATCATGCCTTTAAATTTTCTCTTTACTACGATCTGTCTGGTGCATTTAACTACGTTGGGTTAGCCTAAAGTGACTCGAAAAGGTTAGGTTAGGTGGCTACTTGTATGTAGGTTCTTTAGATCATGATAAATCACGGTTTATGATCCCTATTTCACAATCCTTTTTTTTATGCATGAATGAATGAATTTGAAAAATGGCATAAAAAAATATTGTTAGTAATTTTACAAAAGAAACAAAGTAAATTATTTAATTCATGATCATTCCGATCAACAGTTTAAAACTATTGTTTAATATTAGGCAATAAATCAATATTGTCGACCATTTGGAATTTAATTTCAGCTATAGCATTCAATTTAGGAGCTCTGTAAGTAGTGGTCTTCACATTTCTTACACTTAAAATAAAAAAAGTAGTTTTGCAAATATATTTTAATGTTCTATCACTACAAAATATAAATCTACTGTTTCATTAACTTGTTTGTAATGAAAATATTGTAAATTCCGCAGTGAATAAATTTGGCACTTGAAACTGTAAAATCACTCCGATAGTACTAGTAGATACTAAAATATAGGAATGGATTGGCTTTAACTGTCTGCATGTACAGGAAAGCATAACTTACCATTATTCTACAGTATTAATAAATGTTTGTCTTTGCTCCCAGAATGGCAAGGGAGAAATAGCAATATACACAATTCGGTAGAACTTAAAGTCTTAGCTGCAGAGACATTTCATTGGGTCTGAGTATTGTGTCTGTTCCTAGTCTGAAGTAATATTTTACTCCAGAAATACACGAGTTTTTCGTTTGCCGTTCGGCGTGTTATTCTTTGAGTGCATCGATATTTTTAGATTATGTATTTACCTTAGGAAGTACCGGGGCCGCAGCGAGCACTTGATATTCCGCGAATTTTTGATTAGAGTTTGGTACTTCTGGTTCCGAGCACTTTTGCCAACAGTATCAATATTTTCCGAAGAAATTTTATGTAATAATAAATATTGTAGCCACAATTTATAAATTCAAATATACACAGCAATAGCGTCTTGGAATGAAATGCACAACGCATGTAATCTACGTAGTTGATTTTCAACAATTTACAAGAACTGCATTTTTTCTTAATTTTAACGTCTTAAAATAGGGGTTCGTTGTTAGCTACATAGGAACTGAAAATCCAATCTGAAAGACCGGATTCATTTGGTAAATTTGATTGAATATTTTTCATATCATAGACTTTACTTTATCCCTGGAAACTTCTGACGAACGTATAATATCAAATATCTTACAAAAGACTATAAACACATCTTTTGGTGGTACTGTGGTTCTATTATGTTCGTTAGTAAGGTTCCAGGGCTCCATAGGGCTCAGATTAGCAATGACTACGAAAGTGGCTAACTAGAGCCGAGGATCGAGTGATCTAGAGGTTCAAGTTTAAGTATTTGTCAAAACTTCTTGTTATCTGTTGAATTATGTATTTACACACAATAAATAGCTTATTAGTTATCAATAAGGAGAGATAATAGTTATTATCATAACTAATGTTTGCAACACAGTTTTTTTAATTAATTGCCTTTATAGATATATCGAACGATAATCTTACACTAGCTACGTCTACTTGAAGATTGTTCTCCAAAAATCAACACAAAAAACAAAGATAAGTAAATCCAATGGTTTTCAATTAGGTGCTTTAAATAATTTGTTATTTGAACATTACAATTCGTCCAAGTTTAACAAATGTTTTTAACAAGTGAAAAGTTATGTAAAATCTTATGGAACCATTTGGATTTCGCCTCTGAGTCACACTTGGCTGTTTTTTCTCTTCTCAGTACTTTGTTAAGCTGAAATAGAAAAAAAAACCTTTCGAACTTATGCATGTCCACACATTGTCTGATAGTTACTTGTTAGCGAACAATTTTTAATCAAGTTATAACCATATTCTAAACTAAGCAAGGCACGTCATAAATTGCTGAATTTAAAAATGAATTCCAAATTAGTTTACTTAAGCGAAACACAAGGCCATATGCACACTCTTATTATATTCGAGCCCAGAGTAAATGCTACGCGCCACAAAGTAAGCGTAAAGATTTAACCTGAACATGGCTGCTATGCGAGCGTATTGTGCTCAACTATCCAGGAATAAATCCATATAGCTTTATCAAAATTAAATTAAATGCTCCTGGCGCAGATTTAATAAAAAGAAATACCTTTACAGATCGTCGATCTACTATAGACTACTGTATGAAAGAAATACATAAAATACTGTATTTAAAATTACATATACATCAAAACTCAACACAAGTAATTTTATAGATTAGGTTAAGTGATAGCTATTTTAAAATTATTATCATTGGATAATAATGTTAAAATAGCTATCACTTATAAAACTTAAATATGTTACTACTATAAAATAAGACTTCAAATTGATCGAATACCTATTTTTATAAAGCTTTTGACAAAGTAGACCATGAAATTTTCCTTCACAAGT